TTTTCCTTTCCTCTTTTCACAGATTTTAGCAGATTATATTGTACAAGAACATAAACAGAACATAAACTTCCATAATGGATATTACATCATAGTTTTGAATAAATCAAATCCACATCAGAACAGTTGAAAGTTTATTTTCACTTTGCGCTTGATTCCTGTTTATTCTCTAGCCTTTTACTGATCCAAGTTGAATATTGGTCCACTGAGTTATCTAAGAAAATTTTAGTCTACGAAATCTATTCAAAATTGAATGCGGAATTTGAATTCTAGGATTTCTTAAGCAATAGAAAAATATTTCTTTTTGAAACCACTAGGCCTAATTTCTTCAACTTTCCTGATGGTCCCTGGAAGAATTATGACAAAAACAATCTAGAAGTAGTCTGGAATTGGTTTCTTTCCTTGCACGTTTCGTAGTTAACTGTTTAAATCATAGTTTCCTTCCTATGAAACATACCAAGTTATAACAGTTTGTCATCCTTTCATTTCTCTCCAACCTGGAGAAGAAGAAGCTCGAAACAGTCAAATTCAGCCCTCAGGGCACATCTCCAAGTGATAAAAGGGGAAGGTGGAAAAACTCCAACTTTGCTTGAGGCTGCCGCGTCAAGGGTTCGAATCCTAAAATATGGATTTGGCCTTTGGGTAAGTGCAAGTGTACAAGCAGCCTTCCACCCTATACTCTTGGAGGCATAACCTGCGATTTACCTTCTTCACCAAGGCTCAGGGCAGGGCAGGTGGGGACCGCTAAGGATGTGGTTCATCCTTTTTTGAAACAGTCAAATTCAAATCCAATTAGAATGTTGTTGGTAGAAAGATATATATTTCTTTATCAATAGTCTGTAACCAATTAAGCCGCCCATATTACCTTTTGGCTTGCCTCTTGAAATATTAGCTTTCTTCCTTCGAAAGGATTTGAAAAATGATTCCAACCCCTTTAAGGGTCTATGCAGTCTAGCATAAGAAACGGATAGGAAAGTGAAATGATGGTCCCATTCTCATGTGGAGAAGGTTTGAGCGGCTAATGATCCTGGATTAGTTTTATTACGTACCATATACGCCCTATTTGTTAACGAGAAAACAAAGAAATTGAACCACTATAAACTTGCTTTATAATTGCTTAAATGATTTCTCAATATTGGTTCCAAGGAATCAGAATTATACCAAAATGCTTGTACTACAAACACCTTCTAAAGCATCCAAAACTGTTTTATATGCGACTCATATAGAATGCAATTCATGTTTACTGAATCAAAATGGCCGATGTCAGAGAGGAGTGAAGCAAAGCGACGGCATCAACCTTGTGGGTTTAATTCACTATTCGTTTGCCAGTGACGTTGAATAAGTTGGGGGTGCGTGGTACGGCACGTGTATTTTTCTTATACGGGCTTTAAAGTCTTGTATGGGATTTGGCTAGGGTTAGGATAAATACTGACGATGTAACCCTATTATTCATACAGAATAAAAGTTTCCGCTTTGCTCTTTGTGGATATAGGCACATCATCGAACCACGTTGAATACTTGAGTTGATTTCTCTATTTCACTTTTCTATTGTTTTGCATTTAAAATCCAACACAAAACCTTCTTGGTTGACTCTCTTGTAAAAAGAAAAGACAAACATAACCGTAAGGAACATGGATCAATACAAGTTTGAGAGATTCACACGTTTCTGTTAGGAATTACAAATCGAATGACTCGATTTATAGAGCTACAAATAACTCTGAAAAGGTACACTGGTTACTCAAACGAACTATTACGGAATAATTTCAAACAATTAGGCAAATATTACAAAGATTATTATGAAAATCTTTCCGTAGCTTTAACAATTCTGTAACTGTGGTATCTTTAAAGAGCATAAACATAAACTTTCATCACACTTCTGAAGAAAGAAATGCATATCAGAACAGATGAAAGCTGATTTGAATTTTGCTTCTGATTTTGTATTTTTTTCTTTAGTCTTATTGCTAATCCAAGGTCAATATTTGTCCACTGAGTTAATTAGGCATACTTTAGTCTAAGCCTATATTTAGCTCATGTTTATAAACATTCAAACCACTTAAGTAAAAGGGGAAGGTGGAAAAACTCCAACTTTGTTTGAAACTGCCGCGTCAAGGGTTTGAATCCTGAAATATGAATTTGGCCCTTGGGTAAGTGCAAGTGTACAAACAGCTTTCTACCCTGTACTTTTGGAGGCATAACCTGCGATTCACTGACGGACCTGCACAAGGGCCTACAAGGGCCCATGCCCCTGTAGGTTTTGAGGGAATTTTTTATTTTTTTTATTATTTTTTTTTTTTAAGAAAAAAAAGAGGCAAACCTCAAACCCACCTTCCATTTCTCCAGCAGCCCAGGCCCCAGCCTCATTTCTCCAGCAGCCCAGCCAGCCTCATTTCTCCAGACTCCAGTCGCCTCGCTTCTCAGATTTCTCCTTCCTCCAAAATCCAACCCGTAATCCGGTCTTCCGTCTGTCGTAATCCGGTCTTCCGTCTGCCTGTCTTCTTTCTCGCCTCTCTTCTCACACATTCCGTTTCCTAGCACCGAGAGGCGAGTGTCGGAGACCGAGCTCTGCCCATTCCAAGCTCCAACTCCCTTCGTCGGTGCACTGCTCCTATCAGCCTACGAGGTAAGTTACCATTTTCATCTCAATATGAAAGTAAATAAGTAATGATTATGGATTTATCATTTATGGTATGGATTTAAGAATGACCGTGTGACTGTGAATTAGGGATTTGGAAATTGATGTTGATTTCTAATTAGGGCTTTTATGGATAGGGATTTTGATGAAATTGAGTAGGTTATTGTGATTGTGAAGCTGTTGATTTCGCGATGCCGTGATGTGAATTGCTCAGACTTATCCCTTATTCTCAACACTGGATAGGGTGTTTCTGTTTCATAGTTCATACATCATACATGTATGATGTATTACTTTATTAGGTTGTCATAAATTGATAATGATTTATGTTCAATCTTGAAATTTTTTTAAGGTTCTTACATGCTGCAATTCTTTGCATAAATGAATTGTGATTGAATTTGAGGACTTTTTTATTTAATTTGATTTAGGAAGGTAATTTACCTGAGACCATTAGAAGGCAATTGTGAACTTGCTAATTAATTGATTGAGGAAGATTTAAACTTCCATTTAGGAAGGTAATTTACCTGCAGCAATTCCATTTCGTCCTTGGTTTCTTCAAATTCATGGCCGAATGAACAAAGGACTAACAGAGCGCCTTGGTATGACCTTAGGCTATTTGCTCCCCAACATTTATATTGTCACTTTGTGAAAGTTATATTGTGCCCCCCTAGTTTTTTGAGTCTGCGTCCGCCCCTGCTGCGATTTACCTCTTTCACCAAGGCCCAAGGTAGGAACAGATGGGGGCCGTCAAGGATGTGGCTCATCCTTTTTTTTATAAACATTCAAACCACTTTTTATCTACAAATTCCGTAGGACCCACAAGTCACAACTCATTTCTACCTATTTATAAATAAAACCGTTGATAACCACTTCCCAAACATGCTTTAAGATGTCTATTCAAATATTGAACGTTGATTTCGATTGTAGGATTTCTTAAGCAATAGAAAATACTTTTTGAAAGAATAGGCCTAATTGCTTTAACTTTCCTGATGGTCCCTCACAGAATTGTGACACAAAATCACCCTTTCACGTTTCACGAACATACCAAATAAAATATTATCTTGATTCCTATCTCTTTCTGTCCTACAGGGAGAATTAAGAAGCTTGAAGCAGTCAAATACAGGGTGGTTGATGGTTTCATATAGTAAGGTTATGTTTTTCTTTATTGATAATATCACCTTTTAGGTTGCCACTTGAAATTCTAGCTTGCTTAATTTGAGAGGATTTGGAAAACCACACCGACTCTTTCAAATATATGTGCAGACTAGTTTAAGAAATAATAAAGTGAAATGGTGGTCCCATTCTCATGTTCTCAAGGTTTCAGGGAGGCATTGGTCCAGAGTTAGTTTATTAATTTTCATTTCTTCTTTTTCTGTCCTGAGTTAGTTCATTAATTTTCATTTCTTCTTTTTTCTGTTTACATTCTTTCCCTAAAATCCAACAGATGATATAAAGAATATACTCTCATTTCTAAGGTTTAAACATATTCTTGAAGAAAAGAGAGAGAAGTATATGGTAGCAAATTCCTGTATATTTTGCTGCAATGTCTGTACCACCCATGTTGGGCCATGGGCCGCCATAGAAAATATTTTATTTGGTGGTATTTAGGCAGTCTTTGAATATTCATTACTCTGGTGTCGGTTTTGGACTAATACACATCTAGTTTATGTCTACCTTCATGTGTAAATTCAGTCCCCTGCTAAAATTCTTGAGTTTATAATTAATAAATGTTGACAATAAGCATCTTTTTTGCTAAAAAAAATTCTTTAACATGCTTATGGGTGGCTGTTAAGGAAAAAAATAACCGCTAATTTAGGAAAAGATTCCTTAAACAAATATCAGACAAATTCTGAAAATGGCCATTATATGTTAGAGAATATCAGAATATTGAATTAGATTTTCCTATGATTCTGGGCAATAATGCCAGCTTCTGCTTTGTTTTACATGGCTTTTCCAGAAACACAGAATACATTACCAAAAAGAGACAATTAAACAATGATCAATTTAAACAAAACACAATCACGAGAAAGGGAAAATATTATTGAACTTCAATCACTCTATGTTCTAATTACAGTTCAAAAGACAATAAAATGCAAAAAGGAGACAAAACAAACTTATAAAAATAATCATTCCAATCTGTGTTAAGTATTTCCTAAAGGTTTCCACACAGTGTCTTAAACTGAATTCACAGAACACAAAATCCCAGAACAAATTTTGAAAGAACTAAGGAATTGATTTTGCTTTTCTTTCTGCAATCTAAACAAACCTTAAAAAAAAATTTGACACTAAAAAAAAGCCAAAACTGATTCTAAATGCACTGTTGACACTTAAAAAAGAGGAGCAGTGCTTAATCACTCGCGAATCTGAAAACTTCTTAAATGAAAACTGTTGAAATTTTTGTTGTACCTTCAATTGAAGAAGTGATCTGCGCTGTTGAACAATAATTTGGAACCCACCAAACTCTGAGACTTTTATCAAGGCTTCCACTATAGAGCATGAATCCACCCCCTACTCTTGTTGGAGATGCCTGCAAGCACTTAACTGGCCCTTCATGGCCTTTAATTATCATTGTTCTAAATAAGCCTCCATTGATCTCTCTTTTCCATATACTAATACTCTTATCTGCTGATCCACTGCACAAAAACTCCCCCATTAGGCACATACTCAAAACCGCCATTTTATGCGCTTTCATCCCACAAATTACCCTCCAACTATCAAAATCCTTATTCCCCAACCATCCCATTATATAACCATCTGAACCCCCTCCATAAACCAAATTTCCATCCTCAGACACAACTATTGAATTCACTGATATATCCTTATGCCCCTCCAAGGTTCCCTTGAGCAAATGCTTATTAGTCTTCCCCTCCTTCCCCCAGGCCTTGATCTTCCCTTCTGCTGATGCAGAATACACAATCCCCTTGGAAGCAACTAGACCATTGATTGCGTCCTCATGGGCTTTTATTGATTCCAAACACTTGAAATCCGACATCCTCCAAACCTTGAGAGTCTTATCCCATGATCCAGAGTAAATTAAATCGTTAGAGACAGCCAAGCAAGAAATACTATCCGCGTGTTCAATCCACAAACGCTTATGATGTCGCCTTGTTTGCACGTAATTGCTTTGCTTCATGAAGTTCCCCAAATAGTCCTTAGTAGTGGGGAGAGTATCAACAAGCCTGAACAAATTTTCGGAACTTCTTGAAACCTTCCACACTCTAATTCTACTATCTTGATGTGCTGTAAACACTTTGTTCCCAGCAGTGACAAGGGCCTTAACCGAGCCCTCTCCTTGTCCAAACTTTGTAAACTGTCTCAAATCAGGCTGTTGCCATACTATGATGTCCTTGCCCTGTGAAGCACTTAAGATAAATTCTCCACATAAAGCCAGACAAGAAACTGATCCAATGTGTCCCGGTAGATTTGCCAACAATTTATACGAATGAAAACTCGACACGGGCATGTTCAAAATCTTGAATTTAACATCTTGAAAGTCATATCTAAACGATGTCGCTGGGCTTTCATCCGTGTCACTGTTTCTTCCGCTGCTGCTGCTCGCCGTTGAAGATGACAATGGACTCGAAAAAGCGCTATCTGGAACATGATGTTTAACTGATTGAATCATTTTTCTGATCGACGAAAACTGTATGTGGGTCTTTCGCTATATTCAAGATAAACAGATTGATCAAGAAAGGACGTATGTTGAGGAAATTTCTTGAAGAAGTTAAAAAAGTTTCCGATATGGAGGCAGCTATATAATGATATTGATCATGTATATAATATGCAAAGATGAAAGAGAGAACAGGAGCGGAGTTGGAAGACGGCCAAGAAAGTAGAAAAACGGAATTCTTGGGAGAGAAGGATTTGGGTTAAAATAAAGGGTGTTGGTCCTAGAAAGTATGGGGTGGGATGGGGGGGCGTGGGGTGAAGGAGAAGGTGCAACGGCTACTTTGACAAAAACAAAACCACCAACTCTTGAAAATGCGTAATGTGGGACCCCAACTATTTCCTTCTTNTTTTTTTTTTTTTTTTGAACTGATAATGATTTTTATGCATATTTAAATGACTCGATGAATAAGGATTTGACATTATTTCCTATTCTACAAGAATTGTTAGAATTAATAAAAAGAATTGTAAGGATCAATAAAGTAAATATTAAGTAATTGTGACGGGTCACACAAATGATAAGAAATTTACAAACGTGAGTAAGTATCGGCACTTCTCAACCCATTAGAAATTTTTGGAGGCGGGACGAAAATCAAAATATCATTATTTAGCATCTCGTTTTATTGATTATTTCCCCGTCCCCGATTACCTAACGAACGGGGGTTGGAGAATTTTTCCATCCCTCAACCCCCAAGTCCAAACCTTGAAGTTTAAAACAAAGCAGGGCCACAGTGTATACATTGTTTATACACATTCTGTAATTATAATAATAATTATTATTATTATTATTATTATAAAGTAGATTGTGCCCGGGATGTCTTTGGTCGGTCATCACAAAAGTCCCTTGTAATTTACACTCATTTTTCTTATTCAATTCTGAGACTTTAAGGAGCATTTAGTTTAATTGTCATGTTCAAGCCTTGTTACTCTACTAATATAAACAAAACATTGTCCTAATGCATCTTGCTAATTACAAAATTCTATAGGTTACAATTGAGAGCCTGCACTGCACATTAGAAATAAATTCAATTGCGATCACAAAGGCAGTCTAAATGGCACACTGTTCAACTAGAGAAACGTGAAATGGTAGTTCTATCGTTTGCAAAAGAAAATATCGTAATGACATGTACAATGAAATGAATTTCAAGGAGGACTAGGTATACTTTTAACTATTAAAGTATATCAACTTTCATACTCGTTCGACAGTTGAAAGCTAGTAATCAGTATCAACCTTACAAAATTTATGGGGAAGAAATAGTGACAATTTACTCATACGGCTATATTAATCGAAAAGACAGTTCAACTCTTATTTTTTTTGTAGCACAAAAGTTACAAATTTACCATTAAAAATAGTTAAATAGACCAAAATGCCCACAATCAAAATATGTTTGTAATATATAATGTGCATTTTACATCACTTTTAAATTTATTTTTTTAAAATTCTTCAAAAGTTCAATTACTATTTTATTTTCAACTAAAAATTAATTTTTTCTATTTCATTCATCTATTCTTCTATAAATAATCATTCAATCAAGTCTATTGGGTTAATAACCCAAATGGTCACTGACCTTTGCAAAACGTTTTTACAGGGTCACTGAACTTTAAAAATCACATAAGTCATCACTAAACTTTACAAAATGTTTACACGGTGTCACTGAACTTTGCAAAAGGCTTTCACGAATTACTGAACTTTAAAAATCATCTCATTAATTACTAAACTTTGCAAAAAGTTTCCTAGTGGATCACTAATTCAGTGATTTCCTGGGAAACCTTTTACAAAGTTCAGTGATCTTGTGGAAATTTTTTACAAAATTTAGTGATGAATAGAGTTATTTTTAAAGTTCAGTGACCACGTGTAAACTTTTTGCAAAGTTCAATGATAACTTGTGTGATTTTTAAACTCCAGTGACCATGTGAAAACTTTTTGCAAAATTCAGTTACCATTTGGGTTATTAACCCCAAGTCTACTCGCTGCATCATTTACATTTTTTTAATTTTTATTTTTACATAACAATTATATATATTCATTAATCATATTCATATAATTTCTCTCCTACTAAGCTTTCTAGCACAAAAATAATAATAAATAAATAAATCTTCCTCAATAGACTAATAAAATTACGAATGTTATAAATTAGAGAGAAAAGAAAAGAAACTAGAGCAATCAATAAAATTGTGTATATTTTATTGAGAACCAAATCTCCATATTTATATGGGTGGATTAGAGATACAATGATAATAATTTATACGGCTGTAGAGTTACAATTGTCATTCATCAATAAATTTATAATTTACATCACTCCCCCTTGAATGACACATTACAAAATATCCGTATCATTAAAACCTTGTCAAGAAAATTCAGTGGGACAAAATTTGATCGAAGAAAAAATAGTATAACTGCCCATCTGATTTCAATTCTTGTATCAATTCATTTTTGTTTTGTATGTAAATATCTTCAATATTGTAATTTTCAGTGAAATATATCTCATGTTGTCTTGTATAGTCTTCAAATAACACCGTCCTCATATAAGATATTTTTCAATCTTTGATAATTGTAGTAATGTAATAATTCGAAAATAGCTCGTATATCTCTTAGGAAGTCTCGTATATATAAGAGTATTAGTTTGAGGGTAAATTTCTTGTATGTTATGGAGATTCATTATACAAAGAATATGACTCGTTAAAACTTTATTAGGAAAAACTTTATGGAAAAAAGGCTAATAAAGGAAAATAGTACATTATTCTTTTGAATATGCCACAAATGTCGTCTCATTAAAAACCTTGCCAAAAAAACCTAATGGAACAAAACATTGATCAAGGGAAAAAGAGTACAAGGCTTATTTATTCTCTCATGATAATATCACCTGAATTATGTTTCACACATATTTCCTTCCACGATAATATCAAAATTGTACAAGATAAACTGTCTATAATCACATTTATTACATGCATATCAAATTTCATGCATTATCACGGATTCATGCTAATGAAATAGAAACTTGTGATTATATCCACCACATGATAATTTATCTATTTATAAGTTTTCGTGAAATTCATTATGTAAATAGTCGTGCATTTCATATTACGACTTTACTTTCTCCATTTTCAATTTGCATAAATATACACATTTATGTGTTCAAACTATAGATTCAAAATCTTCATATTTCTCTAGTAAATTCAATTTGACTATGATCACGTCCAAAAATTTCAAATTTCTCTAGTTAATTCAATTTTAATATGATAACGTCATTTTATTTCAATTCCTCAATATTCATAATATGATGCGGTATATTATATGCAAAAGTGTTGTCAACAACTTGTTTTTTCAATTCTTTTTCTCACGACAACATAACTTATTAAGGTATTTCAATTTTCAATATATCGAGTACCTGAACATTAATAGAACCATTTTTAATAATTGCTTCATTATTGTTTGGAAATTTTTTGTATTAGAATCGAATTTTACCACACTTCAGGCATGTTATAGATATATCAAATATAATACTAACGAATTGTCCACATAAGACATCAATTTGCGTTGAAGTATTTAAAGCCTGTGCGTGAGATATTATTGAACTTTTGGTCAGTAAGTGCATCTAAATGGATTATCTTTCGAACTTTTGGTTCGAATTGTCTTTTGCGACAATAATGATGCATTTGTTCATTATTTTTAGTTTCTCAATTCCTCCCATAATGCTGAGAGAATTGTCCAATAAAATTGACGATCATTTTTACTGTGCTATAAAATGTAACTCATTTGGGATAAATGTTTAAATTATGCATTTATTCTCTACATTCTTTATTTTCCATCTCATTACATTATAGTGGATGAATTTTACATATATTACACCAATAAAATAATTTGATGGAAAAATTAGGTTATGACCATGAGCCAAATTATTGAAAGAACTAAGATGTTGGCATGGTGAGTATGGCTTTCTTTAAACAGAAATGAAAAGTATTTTGTTCTCAATTAAATTAATTGGAATCATTTAATAAACAATAATGTTAAACTATTTATTGACATTTCAACTGATACTTATTAAAATGTTGAGATTTAGGATTACTAGTATTAACAAGACACGCCATCTTAATTGTATAATTTGAAAATTATGTTCATAATTTGAGCAATAATTTAACAAACTTTATATTACAAACACCATGCAATCATCTAATATTTGAATCAAATCGATAATATACAAATAAATTCTAGATGGCCAACGTGGAGAGTGATAGGGTTCCATATATCACCCTAATTAATTTTCAGAAATATATATAATTCAATCTCTATTACTAGTGATGACCTATTTTCATGAAATATAACAAACATCATATAAGATTTCAATGGATTGAAGAATCTTTCAGTTCTTCATTGAATAACCATTTGAATTTTTAATTCACATCATTATTGATACAGTGATATAATTGCACTTTTGGTTCAATATAAGATATAATTCAATTATTTAATTTCGAAGAAAATGATTAAACATTATATAATCATATATCATCCAAGTAGTCAAATTAATCAATATCCTTATGACATTAATTATATGTTTTCCTTCAAGGTTAAACATGAATTCAAAATGATATATTTTTCGAAACATATGTTATTTCGAGATCATGTTATATTTTATTATTTCTCATTCAAAAGCAATATGTCAATAATTTTTTTCTCAAATATTGAAAATTATAATTCATACTCTTCATGAGCAATCAAATATTATTATAATAAATTATACAAGGATTTATTCTTCAGGAGTAAAAATATAATTTATGTTAGATCGTATTTAATTATACTTTTCAGAAGCAAGTAATATTCTTTTGGAAATATTAATTAAAATTATTTCATTTCAAAAATAATATACAATATTCTTCTTAAATGTTGATGAAAATTATTTCCTTTCAAGAATAATATATAATATTCTTTCGAATGTTACTTTAGATAATTTGGTTTCATTA